AGAGACATCATTCTGAACATCATCAGCCTCGTTAATATTTCCAGTAGTTGCTGAAGCCTTCGACCATGCGGCAGAAGGTACACTTCGACTGCTTGGGAGATTCTTGGTGGCGGAATCCACGGGTACGTCGAAAGACTCGTTTCTGCCCATGACGTTGTACCATGTGAGGAGAGAACAACTGTCCGCAAGAGGTTTGAGAATCCAGTATGTACAATTCTATTATCTATGCCCACTACATCTTCAATATCTATGAATGTACCAGCGTGTTCCGTGCCCAAGTTCCATGTATACCATGTGCCAGTTGGTCTCCCCGAAACGCCCCATCACCAGGTAGTTTACTCCATGTGGGCAGTCAGATCCACGACCGCAACGCCGCGTTTGAGGGCTGATGCCGCCGCGGCGTCAGTGGCGCTGGCCGTGTCGTTGCTGGCAAGGGTGCCATTGGCAGCAAGGGTGCCGTTGTTGGGAGGGGTAATGACAACTCCGGCGTCAGCTCCGGCACCAACATTCCCGCTGTTCATGCCGCTATCAGCCCCAGCTCCGGCATTAGCATCAGCGCCGGCATTAGCATCTGCTCCGGCTCCGGCATTGGCATCTGCTCCGGCTCCGGCATTGGCATCTGCCCCAGCCCCGGCGTTGGCATCTGCTCCGGCTCCGGCATTGGCATCTGCTCCGCCTCCGGCATTGGCATCTGCCCCAGCCCCGGCGTTGGCATCTGCTCCGGCTCCGGCATTGGCATCTGCCCCAGCCCCGGCGTTGGCATCTGCTCCGGCTCCGGCATTGGCATCTGCTCCGCCTCCGGCATTGGCATCTGCCCCAGCCCCGGCGTTGGCATCTGCTCCGGCTCCGGCATTGGCATCTGCTCCGGCTCCGGCATTGGCATCTGTCCCAGCGTTGGCATTTGCTCCAGCACCAGCGTTCCCATCAGACCCAGCATTCGCATCAGCTCCTGCATTGGCTCCAGTTCCGGCGTTAGCATCAGCACCAGCATTGGCATCAGCACCACCGTTGGCGCCTCCTCCCTGGCCATTACCATTGCCATTACCACCACCACCACCACCACCCATGTTGCCCTTCCCCTTTCCACGCCCATTATCATCATCATCGAAACCATCATCCGCATCCGCATCATTGCCCTTCCCCTTGCCATTACCGTTGCCATTGCCATTTCCATTGCCGTTACCATTGCCGTTGCCGTTGCCATTGCCGTTGCCATTGCTGTTGCCATTGCCATTGCCATTGCCATTGCCGTTGCCGTTACCATTGTCGTCATCATCACCGTCGTCGTTCTTCCCCTTTCCTCCACGGGCCTTGACACGGGTAGCTTTGGTCTGGCTTCTCTTCGTTGCGCTGCGAGGAGCAGTAGCCTTGCCAACACCCCTGGCACGAAGGACCCGGGCATATTGAGGGGCAGGGACAGCGTTTGCAACCGGGATGGCTGCTCCTGCTACTAGGGCTCCCTGATGTCTGGTTAGCTTTTTGACGGGGAAAAAGGGGGAAACAGAAATGCTTACTGCATAACGAAGTGTGATGGCCCTTGTGTCAACACCAGTGAAGCCGGCGACAGATGCGGCGGCGAGGAGACCGCCGGCGAGGGCTTGAGCGAGGGTGGGGGCGTGCATGTTTATAGGAGTGTGGATGTGGAAAGAGAACGGTAAATCTTGAATGGTGCGTGAAAAGAATGAGAGACGGCACAGCCGAAAGGAGCGAAAGATCTATGAAGGGTTTGAAGGAAGGACTAGAAGTGAAGATGACTGCCTGAGTATCCTGAAGAGGAGAACGAAAACGGGGACAGAATCTTGGACGAGGCTGTCATTTATAGCAAGATCATTGTGGTACTTTAGATGCAGGATGCGATCTCGGACTTTTCCCCATGCTGGCCGCTGTTGCAAAAGGGGGGCATCAATCGGGGTCGAAAATCGGGATCATCTCAAGTTTACTGACAGCAAATGCAAAGCCACTGGACTTGATATCGGGCTTGTGTGACGAAGAAGGATCCAGTCGGTGTTGCGGCGGAAACTTGGATCGGGAAGATGGGCTGGATATCTTGAAGTGATGAACGTCTGGAGGCTGCATATTGCCGGCCGCATTTGGCGGAGAGACGGCTCCCAGTCTTTGGATCTCAGATGGAACGATCGAGACTGTGGCACATTGGGCCTGTGGTGGTGACCTGCGAGGAACAGATGGCAGGGGGCGGATGTTGTGCCTGCTGCGCCGTTGGGGTGCGTCTTGATGAAGCCTCGCTCGTCAGAACCACCCCGCCAGATCTTGTGTTTCTGCTGGGCCGCGGGTTGCTGGCGAGGAGACACAGGGCCGGTGACCGGGCCGCATTTCATGATCTGCGTCTTGGCCTGCGGCGGGAGATCTGTGTCCTTGCGGTCAGAAAGCTTGTATGTGATGGGGTCGTCTGGGTTTCACTGCCATCCTGTGGCCAGAATCGAGTTAAGCCACATGCTCGGTGTTGAAAGGAGTTGGATGACGTAGTTACAGGCCTTATCTAATGTTTTAGGCTATTGCTTTGCTCCCAGCAGGACGAAGCACAAAGCTCACCATGCTCCGCGGTGGCACGCTGGCCGACATTGTCCTCCCCGACGCGTCCAAGGTCGCGGCAATTTGATCGCAATCGCGGCTACCATCCGTCACCCAGGCGGCCACTCCATCTGCAGCTGCCACAAACGAACTCCCCGCCCCCGCAGTCGCGATATTGACACTGATGGTCCTCGCGCTCCCGCTGTTATTGTTGATGATCTGAACAGCAACCGTACCATCGACATTCCTAAAGGCAGAAGTCCTGACATTTGAGGGCGCACCCGATGTTGAAACACGGACGGCGCCCGGCCTTACAAATCGGCTCCAGTTGGCAAATGCCCACAGTCTCTTGGACGGCTCAACCTGTCTGTTGACCACCCGGATCATCTTGCTGTTGGTATTGCTGGGTCTGTCCTGCGCACCGACCCAGTACAGATAGGCTGACACATTACCGTTGACGATAGCACCGTAAATGTTGTTAGCCCACGTCAATCCCTCGCCGGCACCGCCGTTGGAGTACCAAGAGCTGGTCCAGGCTCCATTGTTATCTGCCGCTTCCGTCATCCATGTCTATTTGGGATTAGCCACGCCATCGACTGGAGAGGTTTTATAAGCCTTACCTTGTGACGGGTCGACAAAGGTGAAGAAGGCCCGGACGTGTACGCGTGTCCAGTCGCAACACCCATGGAACCCTCGACAGATCTCATCTGGTTGAGCATACTGTTCATGACGGACCACCCCATCGTATCGCAGCAGTTGATGATGATGTGGGTCATGTTATTCCGGTCGAGCGTCGGCCTGAGTACCCTGATGAAGTCTTGTGCCTGAGTGCCTGAGCTTCTCATGGATGCATAGCTCGTACTGAGAGATTGTCAGCAAGCAAGACGTCTCTTGAAGCCATTGGACAAGCTTACGTGTAGTCAGGCTCGTTCAGGAAGCCCAAATGGGTAATCTCGACACCTTCCTGCTGATAGAACTTGACATACTGGACCAGATAATTGGCAAAAGCCTGCTTCCAGTCACCGCTGCTACAGCTTGCCCCTGACACACCACAAAGGCTCCCACCGTTGGCATCGTTGTTGTTGGTCTTCATGTACCCCGGTGCACTCCAGGCATTGGCATAGATTGTCTTGAGCCCGTAGGTCTTGACCGCCTCCTGAGATACCCAGACCTGACCGTTGTCGCTCCCATCCCACACATAGTTCGGCGTAGCGGAAGGGCCACCAGGATTCCGGGGCTGGATCGACACCATCCAGTCGTCTCTCATGTCTACACTGGAACCAATACCGTTGCGCAGAATAGTCAACCCCGCGCCCTTGGTGGTTGAAAACATGAGATCGAGGAACTTCCGCTGTTGGTCTTCCGCCAACCGTTTCATGGTCACGGCTCGTTGGAAAGCCTCCGAGGCTCCGAAGCCGTCCATTGTCTGGAACGTGCGCGAGAGATCGACTGTGATTGTTGACGCCTGTCTGTACTCCAGCTCCGAGGCAGACGCGCCGCCAAGGAGGAGCAGACTGGAAAGGAAGGCGGTTGGATACATCGTGTCTGTCGGTCTCGCCCAGTCCCAGTCGAGTGAGGTTGAAGAGGCTCAAGTGAGAAGCTGAAGGGTGCAATCATTCCAGCATAAATACCCCCTGGGATTTTATGTCTGTCCAATATACACTACAGTATGGGGTCCTGACTATTACACCCCGTTCATCTATCAAACCTGCATAAGCGCGCGGTCACAATTCCCTTGATACGAGCCCAAAGTTGGGAACAGGCATTACCTCGTCAACTCCTGGTAGCACTCGCACCCCAAAACCAACACCTCCGACCATTCTGCGCCTTGTCCGTTGCGCCATCAGGCATGGCGCTACTCACCGGCTATTTCCCCAGGTTCTGGGCACTTTATCCATATTCCCACGTGTGCCTTGCATCTATTTCTACTTCGGCTATTTACCCATGGGCCGGTCGTCCTTGATGCAGCATGTTTGCGGGGATCTGTGGGAAAAGCTACTTTGTGATTGTAATTCTCCGGTTGGCGGAATATTTCTATTTCGTCTCTATAGCAGTCTCTTCATTATGTTGAGCGATGAGTGGAGGGAATCAATTCAAGTTTTTTGAAGAAGCAATATTAATCTCTACTGGCCAATCCAAGTTCAAGATTGACATACGAAGATCGGACCAAGGGGATTCAAAGATCAGATGAGTCGAATACCTAGTTATCTCGATTCTATCCAAGCATTGCTGCACTCCTCCGGATATGGGTTGAGGTACACGGGTAGATTTGAAGACTTATTATCTTACTTCAAGTTCCTTTCTGTGATCCTGAGCCTGGACAGGCTGGCAGAGGCTTGGAAGTGTTTTGTGCCACCTGCATCCGTGCAACAGAGCTATGGCGTCATTTCACCAGACTCTTTGCCACTTGATCAGACGACATAGTTCTGAAACGCCATCCCAAAGATTCCCAAAACCTCATCTCTTCGCCGAGAGGGATATCCTAGCCTCATGAGAACAAAAAGACAGACACTGTCACAAGGATGTCAAGATACAATCCCGGCCTTGAAACCACACACTCGGGTCACCATCACACACTGACTCGCCACGAGACACCGGAACCGGTCTTCGATCTGACATCCTGGGTAGCATTTCTACCGAAGCCAGCGCCGGAACAGGTCAACATCGACTTCGATTTCAACGGTCCCCCGATCATGTCGCCCCGGACTCGACAATGAACCGAAGGCCTTGGGCACCCCCTGCCAGCTCAAACCCTTCTTAGCTCCCGTCAGATCAACTCCACCATGGGACCGTATTCGTGCAATCACACCACTATATCTTGATGTTTCCCCTTTTCCTTGTTCCTGTTTCTTTTTCTGGCAAAGACAACCATCTTTCTTCACCAACCCCTTTTTCCTTTTTCCTTCCTCTCTTCATTTTTGTCGGTAAAGCTCCGGGCAGAACTTTGGCCGACTCTCTTTTTCTCCTCATCCCCGTTCGCTCTTCTTCTTCCTCCCGGTCAAGGCTGAGGCCTTGCCCTCGTTTGTGATACCCCTATCTTCCCACCGGTTCGACACCGCGCCTCTCGTTCACTGTCCACTCTTCTCCTGCTCACCACAAAAAAACACCATCATGTACCCCCTTTCTACCCAAAACACCCTCCTGCCGCTGGCGGCCTTCCTTCTCCCTTCCCTGGTCTCCGCCCACGGTGTCATCCTCGCCGCCCAAGGCGAGGCCGATTCCCCCCCTTCCGTCGGCTTCATGGTCAACGACGCCATCGCCCGCAACTGCACCTCCATCAACCCCTGCCAGATGGACACAACCATCATCCGCGACGCCGAAATCGCCGCCGGCACCGTCAACTCCTGCGGCCGCACCAAGCTCAACGGCAACATCGACGTCGGCACCGTGACCGAAAACGCACTCGCCGAAGGCGCCGTCACGGCCGTGAGACAAGGATCCAGCGTCGACGTGACGATCCACCAGGTCAACGCCGACGGCGCAGGACCTTACACCTGCGACTTGGACGAAGGGTCCAACTCGGGAATCATGTCCCACGAGCTGGTCGTGAGCAACAATATCCCTGGACAGAATGGACTTAGTCAGGCTGCTGAGCAGGAGTTCACCATCACGGTGACCATGCCGGATGATATGAAGTGCATCGGTGGTTCGACGGGGAACGTGTGTACGGTTAGGTGCAGGAATGCTGCTCAGGCGGGGCCTTTTGGAGGTTTGATTTCCCCCCCTTTTCCCACCCACTTCTGTCCAGCTCTCATAGGTACTGACACTGTCATGAAGGATGCTTCGCGGTCCAACAAATCGACGTTGAGCCCGCTATCAACACCGCCAAGGACATCACCACAGCCGACACGCTCGAAGCAGCCCAGTTTCAGACCTCGGCTAACCAAGCCGCCTTTGCCGCCGCTGTTGATGCCAACGCCAAGGCTGGCTCTTCGGAGCAGGAACAAAACCTCGCTGCTGTCGAGGCTATCCTTGCGCTGAGCACCGTTTCTGCCGAGTTTCCTACTTTGACTCCGACGATCAACACGGAGAGGATTGTGCCTACGGGTACGGGTGGTGCGCAGCCTACTGCTGCTTTGGGCAGTACTCCGTTCCCTGTTGAGAATGGTGACGGCAACAACGGAAATGGCAACGGGAACACCGGCAACGACAATCCCGACGCTGGCGTGAATCCATTCCCTGTTGAGGATGGCAATGGCAATGACAACGGTAACGGCAACGGCAACGGCGGTGGTAGCGGCAGAGGCAGAGGCAGGGGCGGCCGCAACAGGAATCAAAAGAGATACCACACCGTCGAGGAGCTCCTCAAGCGGTTCGTCCTCCCCGATGATGGCAACTAAGGGTCTCGCAACTGGGCTGGCTCCAGGGATTGAGGAAAAGAGCTTCATCTTATTTCCCCTATCATACCCCCTTGCCTAGACTATAGTAACGACATATGCACCATGGCTAGAGTACATAAGCAAGTAGTTAGTTAGCCTTCAATGAAACCACCCCAGCAACGAAAAGCTTATATCCCACCCGTGAGTTCCTCAACTCCAAAAAAAAAAACTCCGCGTTTACATTCTTCCCCCCCCGCCCCCACCACCTACCTCCCCAACATCCTCTTCACCCTTCCATTCTCGTTCTCCTCCTCCACCACCCCGGCAATCTACCCACCTCCCCCTCGCCCGACGGATCCGTATCAGTCATCAACGGCGGCCTCACATAAACCGAATACCACCCTTCCTCCCCCTGCCCCAAAACATCATACATCCCAACATACTCCCCAACATAAATATACATCCACCCCACATCCTCCCCTTGCTCGCCCGTCTTTCCATCCTCCCACAACATCCCCTCCTCCTTCTTGCCATCACCTCCTTCCTCCTCGGCCGGCACCCACCCCCGCTTGACAACCGGCATCAACATCCTCCCCCTATCCATCGACTCAAGACAGATGTCATCCGCCGTGAGACAGTACTCCCACCTTGATGATCCCTCAGGAACAGCTTGTTCCGACGACACCCACTTGTCGAAATGGCTTCTTACCGCGTGGGTGTCCAGCCCGGCGTATTTCTCCGAGTCGGAGAATATCGGTTGGGAGTGGGATCTGGCGAGGGAGGGGAGGCGGTAGATTTCTCTTAGGGTGGACCTGACGTTTGTTTGGAGGAGGGAGAGGAAGGTTGGCCAGGCGGTTGGGGAAAGGGGCGAGTGAGTGGTGCGGTAGATGGGGAGGCCCCAGGGGGAGGTGGGGTGGTGGGTGAGCTGGTTTCGGAGGGTTTCCAGGCCGGGAGGGTGAGGGGAGGAGGAGGTCATCTTTCTGGATGGTGGGGGGGAGGGATGGTTTCTGATGATGAGGGTTGATGTGCGGAGAGGGTTCGGACGCTTGGGTGGGAGGTTGAGGACAATGGCATGAGAGGGGAGGGTATATCGTTTTGAGAAGTTCATTGGAATGAATGGTAGGGATGACCTGAAGATGTCGTGTGCGGTTCTTGACGGTGAGGTGAATGAGAGGCACGCAAGAACCGGGGGCTCACTCGGGCAAAGTTTGATGGGTGAGGTACCTAATGCATTGGTTGTCCCAGCTCTGTGCTTATTTCTCATGGTCCGATCTGGCTAATCACAGGGCTGTAACACTCGAGAGCGCAGGCTTTGCGCGCTGGGAAACGGGTCGATATTAAGGGAGGGGCGGTAGTGCCATCTTCTCTGGCGTTTTAAGCTGCAGTACGACACGCGAGGTAAGGCTTCCAGTGATGATTACCATCGAACGACCGGAATAATCGTACACCACCAAGGCGCGTTTGATTCAGGTTTGCTCACAAGTACCTACCTACCTTCCTCCAAGAGAAACACGAACTACTTACCAAGGCTATATAGACCGGCCATCAATCACACGCCGCCCAGCACCACACCCCAATGATCCCCACCTGGCTTCTTCCGACTAATCCTGGACTGGAATATCATAATGGAAAACCAGCTTCCCTAGCTTCGGATCCATCAGCTTATTCAGCTCTGTCGCCGTGTTATAGAGCTCTTTGGCTGCCTCATTAGTAACAAGGTTTGCCCCCTAGCCCGGTCCCAGGTTCGAGCTGATTTCCCGAAGCTGATACAGCATATACTCGGTTGCTATTGTTGTCATGCGCGAAGACACGGCAGCTTCGTGCTGGCGCCAGACTTCGAGGGCGCCTGTCAAGCCCATGAAAGACTCGAGCAGTTGGAACTCGCGGGCAAGGGCGGCGCGGGTTATCTCCCAAGACAGGGCAAGATCGTTAGAGTTCATGTAAGAGAAAACGCCAAAGGTCTGAGGGAATGAGCAACGGATCAGTGGTTGCCTCTTCATGTTGATTTCTCTTCATGTAGTGTGGGACACTGAAGGGCCTGGGTTTTCCCAGACCCACACCGGTTTGCTCTTGGGGCTGGATTTTCTTACTGTTTTCTTCTTAACCAACAACCAACTACTGTAATACTAATTTGTTTACCATTTTCTGGCCAATTTTGGCCTCATTTTCGCAGCCAGTGACTTTCCTAGGTCACCAGCCCTACATGTAGCTACCTTTTGCATGACCCCCAAGATCTTCTGGGCTGCTTGCATGTCGGAAGTTGTCATCACCTGTCGCATCAAGGATTGAAACACGGCGGGGGCCATTGGCTTGTTCCCGAGCACCAACGCCATTTTGATCTTGTTCATGTCGTTGGGGAGGACAGACATGCCGGTTCGGAAAGCTGTTGATCCCATGATGGTGAACATGCGGTCGTTCGGTGTCACTGGTGGAGTCCACCCCTTGACGTCTGTGACAATGGCGCCGAGCTGTGGCAGGTGGATGTTCTCCGGATATGCCTTGTGCCACACATCCAGGAGGACTTGCGGATTGAGCTCGCCAGAGGTCAAGCCTGTCCGGGCCCAAGCTGGTATGATTGAGAACTGACTGTGTTTTAGTTCGACAATGCTCAGCGGAAACTTATCGGGCGTCCTTCGGCACAGAACTTACATCAAGCAAATGTTCAGCGTCATATCTCAGCTTTCCGGCAAGTGCAGGCAGGCTGTCTGGCTTCCACCACTGGGCCACCGTGCCAGCGCAAACGTCCTTGGCCATCCCAAAGCCGGCCTTCAACTTCAGCGTCTCGGATCCGGAACCTTCAAAAGTCCCCGGGCCGGTTCTGTACTTCATGGATTTCATTACCAGATTCCCAGCGCCCTTGATGCCAGCCGCACTGGAACCTGCCAGTGTTTTGACCGCGACTGTCATTGACCTTCGGACTCCAAAGCTTGAGGGGGCTCTTGCTTCGAGTCCCACGCCTGTATGATCCGAGAGCGTGTCGTCGACCTCGTCATCGCTCTCGCTCAGGGGCTCGGGACCGTAGGCGTACCAGGTCTGACCGCGAACCGCGGATGAGCCCGCAGCAATAGCACGGCTGGTCACGGTCAACGTGTCTCTACTGGGCCCATCTCCGTTAGGATAATCGGCACCATCATCCGTTTCACCTTCGTCTGGGTCCGAACACCCCCCACCATCCAGAACAGAGCGAATCTTGGAATTGCATTCAGCAACCGGGTTCAGTGACTCTTCGTTCACTTCACAGCAGAGAGCTCTCTTTCGCCACCCTTGTTATGAAGGCCCATTGTCAGCAATGCTGTCGTGGCTCGGAGGGTTTCTTCAGCACGAGACGCAAGACTCACAATTGCAAGGGTAATCGGCATCCCCATAGTCGTTCGTAGCCAGGAAGATCTCATGTCTCTCGCAGTTAGGAACCGCACAGTCCTTGCTCCCTACCCAATGGCACTTCTTGCAGGGAACTGGCTTGTTCTTGGGACAGCAGTAGTCGTTGCCCACCGTCCTCCCCCAGCGCTTATGAAGAGATGAAGGAAGGGTGATGGAACCATTCCGCTTCTTGAGCGACTCATCGTACTTCCAGCACTTTTCATGAATGTCGATGGCGTAAGCGACCTTTTCCTCGTCGGCCTTGCAGTGCTTGCCGCTGCGGCTTTTGTGTCAGTTGGCACCAGACACAGGCACCTAAAGGGAAATGGAGATTTCTCGGAAAGGAACGAGCATACCATGCTTCAGTCCAGTTAGGTAGTCAGTTCCCATCCCAAACCAGACTCCCAAAACGGTTGGCTTGGTTTTGCGTGAGAGAGAACTCAGGCTCACCTTCTTGGCCTTGCAGCCATGAGCATCATACCCAACAAGCTCTTTCGTCGTCTTCAACTCCAGCGCCCCCTTGTAAGCTGTGATATCCTCCTCAATCTTGTCCAGCATCTCACAGCCTTGCCCCAGAAACGAACTGGTATCGGTGATGACCTTTTCCATGTCATTCACCTGCTCCAGGCTCCCTCGCTTCCCAAGCTTTTCATTGCCCGTCAAGGCCTTGTGCGCGTTGTTGTCATAGTCACCGAGATCTGACGCCCAGATCAGCGAACCGGACAGTTCGAGGCTGTCAGCCCATTTGACCTTTTGCGCAAATGTCTCCCTGTCGTCGAACGAGATCCACTGGTCGTTGTCCCAGGAGAAGTACTTGACGGCGGCCTCTCTGTCGTGAATCACTTGGATGGTACGCTTCTTCTTGTTTTGCTTGGCGACGATGTCTTGGACCTCGTGGTGGGCAAGGTCTTTTCGGTAGGTAGTAGGCAGGGGGTTTTGTTAGCTTGGTCTATCTATGTTGGTTCAACCTTGATGACAACTCATACCCGCTTGTACCGGTGCAGACACCTTTCTCGGCACCACCTTTGAAGGGGCAGCCAGGTTTCGTGCAGGAGGGATTTGGGAGCGTGAAGGCTCGGCCGTAGAATCCGAAACCGAGCGCGACTTGGGGATGGGGGGATGTTGACTCTCCAAAGCAGCTCGCAGGCAAGCTTGATCTCGGTCAGGTTGGTGTGCCCCTGAACAATATTCCCGCCGTGGAGCGTGATGTCAGCAAGCAAACAGCTATCCGCCTCGCACAAACCAATGCGGAAACAGGAAAGCGACTCGGCTTACATCGGATTGTCTCCATCCCACACTCCATGCAGGTCATACGACATCAGATTCAACCAATCGGCATACTTCATCAAGCCTGGCAGGTCGAACCACTTCAAGTACCAGTACGAAGAAGGGGCAGTAAAGGTGAGGCCCAGCCTTCTACCTGACTTGTCAAATGCCTCTCGTAGCGTCTTGAACAGCTCGACATAGTTCTTGGTGTCATCCGGCTTGCCCCCGCGGTCTGGTGCGCCTGGGTACTCCCTTTCAGATGTTAATGCTTTTCATCTCGACATGTGAACCACAAGCTTACCAGTCAAGATCAGCACCGTCAAAGCCGTACCGATTCATGAGCTTGAGTAAGGCACGCGCAAATTTCTGACGGTTGGCAGCAGTTCGGGCAATGTTGCCAAACACGGGCTGTGTTGCTGTGCCATTATCGCTGAATGTCCACTGTCGTTCGTCAGCTCATTAGACACACGTTACTGCTGTGGGGGTACGAAGGTCAAGACTTGCTCCGCCGATGGACACATATATCTGAAGCGAGGGTTTGATGCCCTTCAAGTCGACAACATCCTGAAAGGTCTTCGCCGGTGTCTGTGCATCCATAGTGGTGATTTCGAAACTGGAAGGGTCGATGTAGGCGAAGGCATAGTTGATGTGTGTCAAGCCGTCAACTGTGATGGGCATCTGTTGTCAACTGTGTGGTCAAACACAGCACTCGGCACGGCGACGAGCTTACCTGGTAAATCACGAGCGCTTGTCTGGTGGCATTTTGATCTGTCGTTCCATGCCTCCCAGTATCCAATGACTTCAGATGTCAGCATGTTCTGCGTAGGTGTCCCCACGGAGCCATTGCATGATGTGTGAAAAGTAAAAGAGTACCAACCTTTACTAAGCTAAGCGTCTTCCCACCGCCGCCCCCCCGGTGGTGCAGGATGTTCGATACAATTGGACTGACAGCCAGTAGTGCAGAACTCTGAGAAACAAGTCAACAACCAGTTACTCCGTAGTGAGCTTGTGTTATTTGGCTCTTGTAAGGAGACATACCTGAAGTCGTGCCGCAAAATCCATGCTGTGAACAGCTGGTAGCACAAAATAATCATCATTAGCCAACACACCTGAGTGACAGCCACGGTCAGCACGATGGAAACCTTCTCACCAGGTGTTCAAGGGGCATGTCGTCCCTGGGATTTTGGAATATTTTCCACACTCGGCAGTAGCATCGCAGTTGCTCGAACAGCCAGAACCGCAGTACGTTGGCCCATAGCCGCAGAAGCCATCTTTTCCGTAGCAATTCCCAGGCCTCATGATCCCCTACAAGCAGCTAGGGTTCAGCGACAAATGCCTGACATCAGTTAACACGACACTGCCGTCATGTCCTGGCTGGCTTCACACACATACAGGCATCGGGTAAGCCACGCCCGTTTTTTCTTGATCGATGTGGGTGAGAGAATGCTCATGCTGATATGTCGCTTCACTCAGCGATGCAAGCTTTCAGCTCTTAGAAGATTGGCAGCTTCGAGAACTATGTGATTCTTCCTGCAGAAAAGAGCTTGGCAATCTGCGCAACTCAATCAAGCCGGCTTGTACCGCGAAACAAGATCTTGTAGTCCCTGGGGGTGCGGCGGTATTGCTTATCCAGGTAGGTCTCAGGGTGTTTTCGCCATTCCGTCGTGCCCAACCAGATTTGCATGTAAATCTCTAACAGCTTTCTCAGTCTCAATCTTTGCCGACCGTTATCTTTATGCAGTCGAGGCGGGATGTGTGAAGGATCCGTAAGACTTACCTCCCTCGAGTTTTCCAGGCTCCCCTTAGAAGAAAGGCTAACATCATGCCTCTTAGTGCCAGTGGTCAATACTGCGACGCCATCGTGGCCACCTGGAAGAACCGTGATAACTACACGGACGCCCAGAAATGTTCCGACTGTGAACTCGGCCTGGGTAAGGCGCAGCTCTCGTCCCCCTTCGGATACGACGCCGAAGCGGCGGCAGGCTTCTCTTCCTTGACCCAGAGCTGCAAAAAGACCGGGTACAACTACGCGACCCCCACCTCATACGCTCTCAACTCCGCTGGGACGGCACCGCCGCCGCAGCGCACCCGTAGCACAGGGACTCAATACGTCGTCAAGGCTGGCGATACTTGTCGGACCATCGCGGGACTGGCCGGGGTTGGATCCTACCAGCTGATCAACGAGAATGGCCTCGACCTTAGCTGCAATCTTTTGCCGCCTGCGGGTGAGTCCATCTGCATACCGGAGAAATGCGAGACGTTCGAGTTGGTGGTGGATCAAACCTGCGACGACATAATGAAGGAGTATGGCATGACCAAGGCGCAATTTGCTGGCCTGGAATCCCTTCATCAACCCGTCGTGCAGGCATCTTGGAGACTGGAGAGGCTGGTTTCTTTGCGCCAGGTAAATGGCAATTCAGCTCAATTTTCAGCCTGACACGGGTGAGTGCTGACGCTGGCAAGCTCACCGAGCGGTACTGTCCCGGTTCAAGAGGGAGATGCGGTCACCACCGACGCCCCTCTGCCGACAAATCACCATCCTGATTCGAACAAGCACTGCGGTCAGTGGTATGTTGTAAGTACCATGGCTGCCCTGCTGGTTAATGTCAAAGATGGCACAGTTGCAGGATAAACACTGACATAGGTACTCCCCAGGTCCAACCTGATGAATATTGTCAGATGATATCCCTCAAGTTCAGCATTTCCGTTGATGGCTTCTACTTTCTCAACCCAAATCTCGACAAAAACTGCACCAATTTGTGGAAAGACACAGCCTACTGTGTCAAACCGGTCGGAAACATCGTGACGTACCCAGGCTACAAGACATCGACTGCCACCACCAGCTTCACTCGCCCAACCCCACAGCCCACAGCATCGGCGGCACCTATCCCCATACCTACTCTACACCCCAAAGCGCCGGGGACAGTGAATGAATGTTTTCTTCACAGGAATGCCTGGGAAAGCTCCTTCATGGCAAATAATCCACTTTTCGCGGGCGGCAACAACTGCACCTCGTGGGCCAGTGTCGGCGACGTCACTATCCAACAACTTTTGGAGTGGAACCCCAGTTTGTCCGCAACCAAGTGCGAGTTCAAGCCCGGATCAAGCTACTGTGTGCGGAAGTGGGAAACAGAACGTACGCTCTTCCCGAGCCCTCTATTCCAAAACTTTGCTTCATGGGTAAACAGCAACTAACAAGCAGAACCAACCCAGCACCTCAACCAGAACCGCCCCACGATTATTGCCTCCCAGCTGACCCTTCACGAATCCCAGACACAACCCTCCAGCCCAAAGATTGCAGCTGTTACTTTGGTCTGCGGGCACAAGACAAATGTGTGTGGAAAACTCCCCCTCCAATTCCCTCCACCATGAAAACATCAACTGACACGAAGACCAGCCTTCTTCAACTGTACCCAATTCCCACTCAACTTCGACATCACCCTCTCCACTGTCCTCACCCTCAACCCATGGCTTGGCTCCACCCCCACGACCTGCAACCAAAACCTCTGGACCCGTATGAACATGGATGGCTTCATCCAACTGTGTGTCGAGCGAGCTGGCACCGGCACTCCCTCCCCCGCCACGACAAGCAAAGCCTCCATCTCTACTCCCACCAAGCCACCCACCTCAACGCAGAGACCAACCACCACCCCATCAAGCATCACAAAACCACCCGCCTCAACAGCAGCCCCGAACCCCCCAGCGCCAACCCAACCAGGTGCTAACCCCTCCTGCAAGAAATGGCACGTCGTTGTAGGTGGAGACGGCTGCTGGGCAATCTCCAACCAGTACGGCATCGCCCTGGAGGATTTCTACAAGTGGAACCCCGGCGTGGGGAGCGATTGCGGTGCGCTGTGGAAAGATTGAGCCGTTTGCGTTGGGGTTTGAAAAGCAGGTTTGTTCAGTTGCGTGCCTGTCTGTCATCGGCAGGTTCTCTCACAAACGGGTTCGACGGATGGTATGGATACCAGCAGACGCTTTTCATGCTTCTACCTCTTGCACCCAGCTACGTTCAATGCTGCTCCAATACCTCATGCCCAGTGTGTGAGCACCTAAGCGATGAAGAGCACCGGTGAAAACCAGCATGTAATAATCACCCACCCCCCCCCTTCCTCCTCCCACACGTCCTTGCATCATGTCCTCTCTCCTCAGTCCTCAAAAGCATCCAGGCCAAATTGTGCAACCCCCACAACTCCCAACACCTCGGTCTCCCCGCGCCTTTTTCTGCAACCAAATCTGCAACCCCTTTCCCAAACCACAAAGCCCGAAACCCCCCCCGCAAAAGGGCCACGCCGCACACTCCGCCCGCCCGCCTCTGCTACACACGACTGAAACTCTCCCCAACCAAATGCGGTCCTCAAACATCAAACAAAGGTTTTTACGGGCTTTTTGTTGTCCATCTTTCATTATCCAAGCCCTTGTGCTGGGTAGGTGTCTTGAGAGACATGCCTGACTTTCCCAGACAAGACTGGCAACTCCATACGCACTGCAAGAACAAGAACAATCCCAGAGGGACACAAAAGCAAAACATGGGAAAAGTGTGTTACTACTGTAATGTGGCGAGGGCGTGGAAAAGAAAAACATGCAAAAGAAGAATATGCGGCCATCGGGAATCGAACCCGACTCTAATGCTTGGAAGGCATTAATGCTAACCACTACACCATGGCCGCTGACCTTGTTGCGTTTACGTCGCTCAAACACAGGCCCCAACACTGGGCGCCTGGCTTGGCAGAACAGTAAAGCTCCATATCCCGTCCAGTTCCAGGCACAATGGAATAGACAATTGTCCAAAGTCGTCAGAAAATCATTCCAAGCATCAAACGCATCAACATACTAAGCATCAAGAAAACCATTTCCGAGTTCAAATCCAAATCCGTGTATTTCATCCCTTGTATGTATGTATCCCCTTGTCTATCCCCATGCTTTGCTTTCCATAACCCCCTCAAACCGCCCAACCCCCCCGAATCCCAACCCCCTAACCCTCCCCCCCCCAAGAAAAAACGCCATATATGCATCCCATCTACCCTGCTCCAATCCAAGTCCTATGATGATAAAAGAAAAGCGGTAACAGAAATCTGGAAACGTGAGTAGTGACCTGTGGAAAAAGAAAAAGAAGGTGAGAAAAACCACCTGCGAGGAAAAGTAAGTGAAAGAAATCCCAAACAGGTAGGTGGTTGGATGAGCAACCCGGTGACAAACGCTGGAGAGAGGAAAACGGATAAAAGACGTGAGAGATCAACATTGTCGAGTGAGTGAAAAAGAAAGCTGTTGCTGTGACAAAAAGACCTAAAAGGAGTAAATGAAAGACTTGAAGAATAAAAAAAGAAAGCGAGTGACAGGGGTATTAAAATATCCTAGAAAAATGCCCCCCTTGTTATGTAAATCAACGAGTGAATTGAGTACTTTTGAATGAGTGTTCTGTTGTTCGAGTACCGGCAATACCATTGTGGATGTGGCCAAGTATTTCTTTCGGGGTCTGCGGAATGGGTTGTTTGCAGTGCCAAATGTTGGCAAGGAGCGTCGTGAGCGAAGCGTCTGGTGAGACAAGAATGTCGCTAGTAAGGTGCCAGGTATTAAATGTTGTAAAGCGTTGTTGTCCCCTGATTGAGTTTCGGGCCGAGTGAGTGATTGTGTAAAGGGTAAATGAATGATGTAAAGCCAAGTGAGATGGGTTGCTGAAAGACCGACGCCGGTGATGGTTGAACCGAAAAGTGAGCGAAAGCAGTAAATGCCGAAAGCTCCCCTCAGAGGGTCAAGACTTGTCTGACCCGAAAAGCAAAAGACCACCAATGATGAAAGGCAGAAGAAAAGGAACATCCGGGTGTTGTCGATCCTTTACTTGCCGGCGTTGCCAACGCTGCCGGCCCCAATCTGTCCCGTCTGCTGAAGCTTCACCAGGTTGGGTGCAGCAACACCTGGGCAGCCCGACCCCTTGGCACCGTTTAAGCTCTGCAAGACCTGGATCATGGCAGTGCCGCGCCTCTTCTGAGTCTCGATCGAAGTATCGGAGGCATCGTTGAACTCCCCAAGAGAGATGGGAATTGGCACACTGGGGTCCGGGAAGAAGCCCTGGCTGAGGCCCTGGGAGAGCTTGCCGAGGAAGTCTGGGTCGTTGGGAGCAGGTGGGCAGTCGCAGGGGATGAGCTTCTGGTTGGCGCCGACACAGCTTCCGACTTGGATGGTGTCCCGGCCATCACCGGCCTTGACACCAAAGTCCTGAGGAATGACGGCCGGGTTGACGCCGCCTTGGCGAGGGACGTGGACCAGGGCAGAGGCCGAGGCGGCGAGGAGGGAGAGAACAAAAGTGGCCTGCATTTTGAGAGAGTGAAGTGGTTGTCGTCGAGACTGTTTGTAAATTGGTAGTGGCTGTAAAAAGGGAATGGCAAGGGTCCGGCCCAAGAATCAGAAGACGATGGTGAATGGAAGGAAAGACTGCGACCCGAAGATCTTGGTGTTGTGAATGAGTGCCGAGTGCTGGATGGTGATGTGAGAGAGGTTTGGATTTGAGACGGGATGACCTCCGATATATGTAGTGATCCGAAGTCAAGCTCCGAATGTGTGTTGACTGGGTGTGATGTCCCCCAAGATCAGGATGATGGATGGCCGGCCGTGGGTGACGGTGGCAAACGAAACGGCGCATCGCATCCTGTCCCGGGTTTTCGTCCCTCAAAGAGGGTGAGTCGATTGGGCCAGACGGCCTCGAAGTGGTGCAAAAGGGCGTATGCAGTGGAATCATTGAGTGCCGGTGCTGGGCGGTTATCGGAAATCCGGGCGATTTGCAACAGAAGAAGGGAAGAATCTGGAATACCACTCTCTAACGGTTTGCGGTCTCTTGCAGCGGCGTGGAACCGCGGACAGCCAGAAAGTCGGTTCAATGCAGGCCGCAGCCCGTTGTGGCCGGCCTTGTTCAAGTGCTCGGATTGGCTGCCCTCTGTGCCCGGTGCAGCGGCTGTTGAAGGGGTGGCCAAGCCCCGGGGCCGTCGCCGCGACACCCAATTCCCGGGTATCCACTCGGTCCCGGCACTGGCTGATGAAACGATTGAAAGAACGCTGCATGAAACATTTGGGAAAGGTTTGTCCAAGCAAATGCAGAATGGAGAGGTGATTGGTGAAGGAATGAAGCGCGATTCAAGACGCCGGCACTTGCCAGAGGAGATGGGAATGTGTGAGCAGTGCATTGGGACACCCCAGGCTCAGATTTTGATATCATCATATTTGCCACGGCACACTATGCTCGGCGGGCTCAAATTCTGGTGTCATCATTGCTCGCCGCACACCTTTCCCTATTTTCGCTTGCCTTTCGAGGCGGCAAGCTCTCAATGTGATGCTTGCCTTTCAAGGCGACAAGTTTGTCGGTCTGCTTCGTAACGTCCCTACTACTAGACAATGACGGCGGTCAAAACCTATACATTACGGCGCCGCACCCTTGTGGAGGTACCGATTGCACACAGCCTTCTGGAAGGCAAGCCTAAGGGGTAAAAGATTGGTGTGAGGGAATGAGGCGAGATGGGTGGGATTTATACCTACTAGAAAACTGTGTTCTGCCACCTGCAGCTTGCAGCAGGCAGCCATCAGTCGGTAGTAGAGACAACGGCGACGGCCAAAGTCGCTTGGCGACTGACTCTGTTCTGTGACGGTGACGCACTCTTGTGAAGGTACCAGCAGCATCACACCCTTGGGCATATGGAAGGAAGAAAGGGAAATTTAGTTCAAGGGCCGAGAGAGCATCAGTGGACTAATATACCTCAGGTCTGCAGCGATTGCCCCACTTTGAGTTGAAGAGCTTCCATGTTGTTAGGGTGTGGCTTCCTTCTATTGACGGCCATAACAGATAGCGTAGGCGTCTGCCTAGGAGGCTTGGATGGTTAGGTTCTTCATGTCAAACCTTTTCAGTGCCAGACATACCCAGGTGCCAAATGCCACCATCACAGGTCCTAATCCTATCCATGTCTTTCCCAGGTCGTTTTTCTCCGCGGTGACGACAAACCAGCCCGGAAATCATGGCACGAGGGGAAGTCCCATCCACAAGCCAAGGACACCAAATGGAAAGCACACAGATCAATTCTCATGATCGAAAAAAACTTGAGCCTCATCAGAGGCTTCAGAAAATATCAGCCCATCTTGAGGATTGCAACATTGCCCTCCCGTCCAACAACGACACCTGAGGCAAGAGGTCAGTTCCTGGAAGGCACACAACACAGCTCTTCCACAAACAACAAGCAGCTAAGCAGGATCAGGACGCTTTAGTCCAGTGTACCTGAACCCAAACGAAAAATGGCATAAGAAGCAGGCAAAATACTGCACAAATGTTAGGTGTATGCATGTGGATAAAATACAAGAGTGCTTCTATATATGTTGAAACTCTCCCAAGGCGAGCAACTCCATCCAAACTACTGACATGTCAGGAAAAAGATCCTTTACGCGACGTAATGTTGGCCTGACAGGATAACACGGTGCTCAGGGGCTCACCCTTCCTGCCCCTTTCTTCTCGGCGGACAGCAGGGAAGCCGACTTGGACTCTATTTTCGCACCCAAACCTCAACAAATCAACAAGGTTTCGTGGTGTAGTTGGTTATCACGTCAGTCTAACACACTGAAGGTCTCCAGTTCGAGCCTGGACGAAATCAATAACCTTTCATTTTTTGCTCGTCTCCAGTCTCCACCACGGCGACAGGGGATCGATCCCCTTTTTGGGACACGAGACAGAACTCAGAATTCTTTTCTACAGACCTTTGAACATGAAAGGGCCAGTCATTCACTACTTGGGGTATCAAGAGAAACAGAGCACCAAGGCCGAAATGCATGCATAACTTAAATCTTCATAACTACCGCATAATTCCTATCTCACAATATCATCTTGAACATTGGATCCCTGTCATCACCGCTACCCGCATGATGATCGTACTTCCCTCTCGCCTTGTCCTTGTTGATCTTGATGCACCAAAAGACGTTTGTGAGAATCCTGTGGCCCCGTTAGCTTCACTCTCCACACCGACAAAGATCTCCAGCGACTCACGCAAGCCACGCATAAACCAACAGCCCCAAGATGATGCTATGTCCTTTGTGGTACAACGGCCCGTCAACGCTCGGATACGCAAAAGTCGCCACAAAGCCTCCACAGTTGGCAACCGCCAGCTGCAGCGCCGAAGTTGTTGCCCTTTTGTAGTGACCAGCCGAGTTATTCGAGTTCCAGACGAGAATACACGGCACGCTGCTGTACATCCCGACAGCCATGAGACAGGTCATGCCGAACCGGACATTGGGAGACGGGACGTTGCCGATGACCGCGTAGCCAACGATGGCGATGAGAAGAGTGAAGAGCATGATGACACCCCGGAGCTTGAGACGGTCCGAGGCAAAAGCTACGGCGACCGTGACTGGCGTGGCCACGGCGTAGGGAATCACGGACCACAGCTGACTCTCGTTGGCGTTGGATGTGATTTTGAGGTCGTTGATAATCGTTGGGAGGAACAGGCCGAAGCTGTAAAGTCCCGATAGGATGGCAAAGTAGGCAGTGGCTGTGAGCCAGACCTGGAGGTTGAGGATGCCGCGGCGCACTTCGGACCACTTGAATTTCTCTTCGCGTTCCAAGACGGGGCTGTTGACATGTCAGCATCACCTCACAGAAGCATTATAACATGCCCAGGTTTACTTGAACCTCTCGTCACCACCGGCAGCTCCGATCTTCCCTTGCAGCCTCAGCTGCGCAAAGTCCCTCTCCTCTTGTGTCAGGTAGGACGCAGTGGCAACACTCGTCGGCAAGAAAAAGTACGCAATCACGCCGGCGACAACCGTCTGCCCATCTCATCAGCAGACAGACTCCATCAAACATCCGCAACAAAACTCACAATGACCCCCTCCATGATGAAGATCCACCTCCACCCCTCAAGCCCACCCCTAGGCCCGATCGCGGATAGACCCCTTGCCAGGAGACCTGATTCTCTGTCAGCCGCATCCCTTCCACCTCCTTTCGACCCGCAGGAAAAAGCAACTCACCCCCAAAAGCGCCCGACAAACTAGCGGCCGTATAAAAAACACCAATCCTCACCGCCATCTCCTGCCGCGTGTACAACCCCGACAGATACAGCACCATCCCCGGGAGCAACCCCCCCTCCGCCAACCCCAACACTGCCCTCACGGCGAAAAACGAGCCAAAGCTCCTTACAAACCCCAGACACATCGTTACAATCCCCCAAACCACCGTCAGAAGCGGCAGCCAAACCCGGGGCGTTATCTTCTTGAGAAGAAGATTAGAAGGCAGCTCAGATGCGATGTAAGTGGCGTAAAAGACGGCAAGACCCCGGTTGTACTGCGTGTTGGAGATGGCAAGGTCCTTCTCGAGACCAATGATCTTGGCGTTGCCGACGTTGGTGCGGTCGAGGAAGGAGCAGAGGAAGAGGAGGGAGAGGATGGGGAGGATGCGGGTGTCCATCTTGAGGAGGACGCGCTTGGTGAGGCGGGCTTCGTCTTCCGGGGAGAAGGGGGTGGCGACGTCCTCGCGTTTGGCGGTTTCGGGGCCGCCGGTGGAGAGGTGGTCGCTGTCGCTTTTCTCGAGCGCGGCGGTGCCCGCGATTGGGCGTGGTGTTGTCATCTTTACCGGGTCGTCTCTGTTGAGTGTACTGTGGCACACAGGCGACACGATGGCCCGTGAGATGTTCTTGGGTGAACTCGATCCGAGTAGAGGTCAAGGCTAGAGCAGCTTTGATACCAGGCTCGTGACACAATACGTCCGGGGCATGGGCAGGGTGAGGTGATATGCAACCTGACCTGCCTTTTCCCATGGGGCTGCCCTCTCCTGACGTTGTTACAGCGCCCCCACACTTTCCTCTCGCGCTGTCTCGCCGAATTGGTGTTATCAATTTTTGATCTGCATGTATTCGCCCGAGACCGTACCATTGACCGTGGTACAGCATCCTGGTGTCTCACTCAGCGCCAGTGACCTGATCACTCGATGGCCATTGAGGGCCTACAGACTACCCGCGCGCCGATAGCAACGGTGACGCTGAGATTGGCGTGGTGTCGCATAGTTCCCAGATTCATGAGATCATGATGACTCTCAAAGTTTCCGAGTCTTGATTCGGGATGTCTAGTTTATACATGGACAAGAGATTGTCAATGAGAGACGTTCGAGAAGAACGGTTATTCCCGGCTTGGTATTTTCCAGCGGGTTACAGTGGGGCGTCGTCCTCCCCACAGCGCATCGACCGCTAATCGGCGGGGAAGTGCCGGACCGGCCGCTGGATCTGAACCTCACCACAGCTCCTGGGTGTCAGTCACCAAAGACATCAAAAAAAAAAAGCGACAAGAACAAGATATCTTGGCATCTTCACATGCTTCCATTCCATCTCATCAGTAAGCCACAATGAGATCCAAGCCGATGCTCGATGCCGAACTCCGACCCCCCATCGACGTTGAGTGAGGAGACGCCCGAAATTTGCTTCCTCCCGGCGCCCAAATCTATCTCCGACCACCTCGGCCCTTTCCGACCCCCCCATGTTCTGGTGACGTAGAACACCACTTGGCGCAGCCCAAACGGAAGGGACCTGTTGATTGCAAGATCGGATGGCAGATTTGCATGCCTGCCTGTCGCGCCCGCATCCGCGCCGCGCCGGCCGGGTGGGTTGGACGACGCTGTGTTTTGGTAGTCGACCTTCCCTTTGCCACGGCGTTGAGACGGCGAATGCTTTAAGACCAAAGGGATTGTTTTGTGTTTATTTGCGGTTGCGGTACCGGTCGTTGAGTCTTGATTGCTTTTGTGCCGGAGGCATTGAAGCAAGATGAGGAACTTGGCCAGTGTTGTTGGACGGCGCGCCGTTGCGCTTTCTTCGAGGGGATCGTGTGCAAGACAGCTTCAGTCGAGCTTGCGGATCGAGACGACGACACCAACCTCACAGCAAAATATTACCATCAACTACGCCCAGAGCAGGGTTTTTTCTCACACGCGACCGTGGAGGAGAGAGATTCCGGTTTCTGAGCCCAAAAGAGGAGGCTCCAAGGTGTGGGCGTCAGCAGATGAAGCCGTAGCCGACATCAAGAGCGGCTCCGTCCTGCTCAGTGCTGGATTTGGCCTTTGCGGTGTAGCTTGTAAGCCCCCTTGTCCTAACCATCAAGACAAGCCCCTGACTGACTCCGCCCCCCCTTTAGCAACCCTCATCGCCGCCATCCGCCGCCGCGGCCCCGAATCCCTCCACTCCCTCACCGCAGTCTCCAACAACGCCGGCTCCGAAGGTCGCGGCGGCCTCGCCCTCCTCACTGAAAACGGCCAAATCGACCGCATGATCATGTCGTACCTCGGCGCCAACAAAAAGCTCGAAAAGCAATACCTCACGGGCCAGATCGCCGTCGAGCTCTGCCCTCAGGGCACCATCGCCGAAAGAATCCGCGCCGCCGGCTCGGGCATCCCGGCCTTCTTCACCCCCACCGGAGGCAACACCCTCATTCAATCCGGCTCCCTCCCGACCCGGTACTCCCCTGACGGAACCGTGGTCGAGTTTTCCGCCCCGCGAGAAACCCGCATCTTCAACGGCAAAGCCTACCTGATGGAAACCGCCCTCCCCGGCGACGTGGCCATCCTCCGCGCCTGGAAAGTCGACAAGGCCGGCAACTGCGTTTTTCGTCACACGACCAAAACTTTTGCCCCCTTAATGGCAAAGGCTGCCAGGCTTGCCATTGTGGAAGCGGAAAATATTGTTGAGGTTGGGGAGCTCGACCCGAGCGAGGTTAATCTCCCGGGCATATACATTGACCGGATCGTCCCAGCGACCGAACGTCCCCAAGTAGAAATTGTCAAGACCCGCTCCCCACAGGAATTCTCCTCGTCGCCTCCAAAAGAGGAAGCACCCGCTCAGGCGAAAAGAAACCGCATCGCCCGCCGCGCCGCCAAAGAGCTCAAACCAGGCTTCTACGTCAACCTCGGCGTCGGCATCCCCACCCTCGCGCCTTCTTTCCTTCCTCCGGGGCAGGAAGTCTGGATTCAGTCGGAGAATGGCATCCTCGGCATGGGGGATTACCCCCTCCCGGAAGAGGTCGATCCTGACATTATCAACGCCGGGAAGGAAACCACCACCCTCGTCCCCGGCGCCTCGACGTTTGACTCGAGCGAGAGCTTTTCCATGATCAGGGGGGGACACGTGGATGTTTCCATCTTGGGGGCGCTGCAGGTGAGTGCGGGGGGGGATTTGGCGAACTATATGATACCGGGCAAGGTGTTCAAGGGGATGGGGGGGGCGATGGATTTGGTGAGCAATCCGGAGGGGACAAAGATCGTGGTCGCGACGGAGCATACGGCCAAGGACGGGACGAGCAAGATTGTGGCGGTTTGCGGGCTGCCGGTTACGGGGAGGGCGGTGGTGAGCACGGTTATCACTGATCTGGTGAGTTGATTCTCGTCGTACCGGCGATGAAGTGATGCTGACTAAAGAGGGACAAATAGGCGGTTTTCCAGGTCGACAGGAAGAAGGGGACGCTCACGCTGACGGAGATCGCGCCGGGGGTGGATGTCGAGGAGGTGAGGAGAAAGACCGATGCGGGCTTTGCGGTGGCGGAGGAGTTGATTGTCATGGAGTAGGTGAGAGGCGGGAAGCATGATGGCCGGGCGTTGTTTTGTCATTGTCATTCATGAACATGTATATACCATACCGTCTTTTTGCAATAAATACATATCAAACCTCTTGTCTCTCTCACAACTTGGACTCCCTCCCCCTCCCGCTCCCGCTCCCGCTCCCGCTCCCCGTCCCGCCCTGCAGCTCCTCCTCCATCTCCTCCGCCACATTCCCAACCTCGCTCACCTCCCCATCCAGCCTCGTATCATCCTCCACCCCGTCCTCCTGGTCCTGGTCCTGGTCAACCTCCCGCTCCCAACCGGCAAACCCCCCACCCCCGATCGCCCTCGCGATTTTGTCAACGCTCTCCAAAATCCACTCACACCCCTCATCCCCCGCCAACCGTTCCATCCCCTCCCTCTCCTCCTCGTCCTCAAACTCCTCCCTGTGCAACCCCTGCTCCACAGCCTTCCTCAACCCGTAAACATGGCTCAACACCTGCGGCCCAACCCCCCTCTGCGCTCTCAAACACGCAATCGCCACAAGACTGGTCAGGCACCGCCCCAACCTCGCCTGTCTCGGCACCCCGCCCTCCACATGCCTCGGTGGATCGGCGAGTAACATGGCGTAGTGACCCTGGAGGATATACCCCGGCAGATCGGGATGTGCCAGTGCAAGCTTTTGGGTTAGTTTCCCGTGATGGGGTGTGTAGATTGACTTCCAGAGCGCGTTTCCCCTGCTTATCGTATTGTTGATGTTTGAGGTAGTGACGGTTCGTGATGGGACCGAGGAAAGGGAGCTGGACCAGGGGTTTACCTCCAGGTCTGAGCGAAAGGCGTTGAGGCAGTTGATTGTGCGGGGGATTCCATTGAAGGAGATGCATTTGAGGCCGACTTCGCGGATCAGTTCGGCGAGGAGGAGGGGGGTGAGGGGGGGGGTGAGGGAGGGGAGGGTTGGGTGGGGGGTTAGGGAGGAGGAGGTGGAGTGGAGGTGGGAGAGGGAGGAGGGGGAGTTGAGCGTGAAGGTTGTTGCTGCCTGCGGACAGGGAGGAAGGGTTAGTGAAAAGAAGGGAAACGGGAGGGGAGGGAAACGAACAGCTATGGTTATCCAGGGACGTTCGCCGTATTTGCGCGATTTGGCTTCGCGGGAGAGGCGCTGGTAGATGTTTCTTATTTGGGGGGGGGCCGGGGTTGTGGCTGGGGAGGCGAAGGGGGCGTTGATTAGTTTTTTGAGGGAGGGCCTTAGGGAGCTAAGGTCTTTGAGTTTGGTTTCGGCCATGAGATATCTGAGGGGGTGGGTTTCTAGCGGTGGTGGCGGCGGTGGTGCTTGTTGCTGCTGCGTTGGTGCTGACTATCGTTGTTCGAGCTTGTTTACAGGTGAAAGAAGCGGCGATGTTTGAGGGACATCACCAATTGGAAAACAGTGGTGGTTTTGTTTGTCGTTTGGTGGAGCGTCGTCAAGTGGTGGAAGTGGTGGTGGAAGTGGTGGAGTCGATGATGATGCGCGCGCGACGAAAGATCACTGGGGAGGTTCCCGCAGCTGGAATGGAGCGATGTGATTGGTGCGCAAAAGCTGGGAATTGGAGTTCGTCGCAATGCCCGCTTGTCCGCCAAGGGCTTCTCCAGCAGGGGGAAACAGCCGCTTCTAGCGGGGATGAGCTCGGGGGTTGTTTTGAGTGCCGATGCGGGCACTCTCTCAACCAGCAAAACTCACTTACTCATCGACCCTCAACCACACGAGGCCTGTCACTATCAAGACCGCTTTCCTTTCATGAGCTACAACACGTGTCTTTCACCGTCCCTGTACCTATTTATCATCACCCCTCAATTCTAGCTGCCGAGGTCAGACATCCCCGCCGCACATTGATCTACCCGCGAGTTGGTGTGGGCCGAGAAAGTTGCAAATTCCCATCCCATCAGCCCATCATCGTCTTCTTTGCCATGATGGGAGATCTGTTCTTGTGTGACCCGACTATCCCGAGCGGCGGTTGTGTTCCAGATCCATGGGAACGTGGATCTGGAACTGCCCGTCCTTTATACCAACCAAGATATTGCCAGCATAATTCCATCATATTTCCATCTCAAAGAATAATGGGACCTGCTTGCCTTGGACAAGGTACCCATGGTGTGTAGTGAGTCTCTGGTCGGCCATATTTTGCGCCTGAAACGCCCGTGGACTCAGGCTGGCTGTAGTGACCCGGGCCCAAACGTCCCTCTCCCCCAAGCTGTGTCTATTCGGGGTGTTCCGAGTTGTCCTTCTCCTCATGTTTGTCTCTTTTGCAACATGGTGCTCCCAGGCATCCAGTCCTGAGGTCTAGTGATATCTCTTTTGCCATCTTGCTATCAACCCCAGCGAAAATGAGTGGGCAGAAAGGAACCAAGCAACCCTTCTGGCTCGGGTGAGTTCATAGCTGCTCGTGCACGGAAGACAGTATTGACAAGCAGGTGCAGCGGAGCCGCTGCCTCCATGGCAGTATGCTTCAGTGAGTGGACACCCCTGATCGCTATGAGAGAAGCATGCAGTTCGTATCGCTTGTTGAGTGCTGACCCTGGCCCCAGCCCACCCCCTGGATCTCACAAAATAGTATGTTGACGTGAACCCCCGCTCCGATCGCTCGAGAGATATGTGCAACATGTTAACACTCAATCCCGTCCAGCCGCATGCAGGTCCTCCATACCCGAGCACCCATGCTCTCGACCCTGTACCGGTTCGCTGTTCGTGATGGTGAGACGTCTTGGTGTGGTGTGTTCAGCCAGCTATGCTGAGGCTGATGGCACGTAGGAATACCTTCACTGTGGTCCGGCCTTTCCGCTTCGGTTCTCCGACAATCGACATACTCGACAGCCAGGTTCGGTTTGTATACCATCCTGTCCCGCCAGATGCAAAAGCGGTCCGGTGGTGCCAAGCCATCCACCACATCCACCATAGCGTGTGCCGGTGTGGCCGGCGGGCTCGCTGGCGTGGTGGGGAATCCGACAGAGGTTGTTCTCGTCCGAATGTGTGCCGACGCCGCCAAACCACCGGCAGAGCGCTTTCTCTACTCGGACGCCGTGACCGCCCTCGTCCGGATCGCGAGAGAGGAAGGCGTCAAAGTGTTTGGGAGGGGGCTGTCTGCCAATATCGTCAGGAGTGTCCTCATGAGTGAGTTGAGCACCCCAGACAATGCCCGCAAGCTGTTTGCTGACCTCGAACAAGACGTGTCCCAGATCGCACCGTAAGCCATCGCCAAGCCCCGTAGCAACCTCCCGCGCTGACGATGCGTGACTACCTTAGATATGCGGCCGCTAAAAAAACTATCCTCACCCGCACCCGGCTGAAAGACGACATCGGAACACACGCCCTGGCATCTCTCTTCGCCGGAACAGCTGCCACGACAGCGTGCGCACCGGCCGATGTGCTGAAGAGCAGAATCCAAAGCGCTACCAAGGGCTCAACCGTCCTGCAGGTTGCGCGTGACGGCCTGAGGCAAGAAGGGCCAATGTTCCTCATGAAGGGGTGGACGCCAGCCTGGCTCCGCCTGACACCTCACACCGTCCTCACATTCGTCATCATGGAAAAGCTCTCCGAGCTCGTCAGCATGACGGCAGCCACCCCGGTGCCGGCTCGAGCAACCGCTTGACCCGTTTCAAGTACCAAAGTCCGGTAGGTTTGACCAGTTCAACCAATCCAACGCCGCCGCGTCGTCCCAGGGATACATGTTGAGGGCTGGGTCAAACTCGTTATTGACCCTGCTGAGTGCCTCGACGATTTGATCATCCGACATGGACGAGAACTGGATTGGCTCGGACCAGATGGGCGGTTCCAGGAAGCCGGAAACAGCCGGGTTGGGTGGTATGGCGTCCGTCATACTAAAGCTGCCGCGGGCGTGATTGTGGTTATTGGCGTCACTGTGTCTCGCATACGGTGCTGTGGCTTGGTGTTGTTGCGTGGGAGGTTCCGATTGGTGGTGACCGGTCCGGGGGCGAGGGGCGGTCTCGTTTGCTGATAGCGCCGCTTTTTTGACAATGCATCTGAGATATTTTCCGTACAATGCCGACATGCCATCTCGATGCTTTGTTGCCGAGCCGATGCGTTCGAGGACCTCTGCTGTTTCCTCAATGAGGGCTCGGACGCTTGGTGCCAGGTTGGAATTGCCCGGCAGCTGGCCGCTGAGACGAAGAGCAAAGCACGCGGCGAACGAGATCATGATGGCTGTGTTGTTGGGCATGCTGGACAGTTGGCTCTCGCCCTGGATTGCAGCTCGCATGACGTTGAGCGCAGATGAGAGGCCGGCCGCATGGAAAAAGTGGCGCACTTCGGTGGGAGCCGTCGGGTGGTTGATGACGCTGCTGTAGATGGAAAGCCTGGTATGGGTCACCAGGATTTGCACATACGGCGGCAGTCGATGCTCTGCCGCTTGGTCAGCAAACAGCGGTTCTGGGCTGCGCATGAAACCTTCAGACATACGCGGCCCGGTGCCGATTGAGATGCCCCATTTAGCATGCCATTCGTCAAAGAATTTGTCAACGGTCATTTGGATCCTGCTGCAAGGTCAGCCATGTGTGTGAGCGGTAACAGTTCGAGAAGGGGCTCACGAGGTGGCAATAATCCCGCCCCCGGTTCTTCCATCCCGAGAGCCATCACAGACCGCCCTGATAGACGCAAATAAATCATCCTGCGCCTGTCAGCAACAAACCTCGACCATTTCCACGGACACGCCGGATAAGCTCACCAAATCTCTCCTCAGCACCGCCATGGAAACAAGATGCCCATCCATCGTGTCTGCAATATTTGACAAATGCCACTGGTCACACCCCTTGAGGATGGGCGTGATGGGAACCGTGTAGCACCGACCTCTTGCCAAACACATGCCTCTTTCCAAGACGAAAAGGGCAATCCAGCACCGTTCCCTTCTTCTCAGCAGCCGTCTGCCATACTCGCTGTTCGGATCCACCTCCGAGAACCCGTCCAGCGAAAGCGCCACCTTGGGGTCGATGCAGTCTGCTCTCGGAACTTGCATCGGCATACTTCCCATGCCTTGGCCGTTTACGCTCTGTTGTGAGACCAGGATCTTGTGCAGACTGAGATCAAGCGCCATCGTCGTCGCCATGCTGACGTACCAGCAGGTTTCGTCATCGGTGCTGTGTTTCCCGGGCGCCATCCAGGGGACGTTGACCATGAAGGCAAGGACAATCTCGACGGAGCGGTAACGGTCACGGATGATGCGGTTCACGAGAGCTTGGCAGTGATTCGAGAGGCGACGGGACAGGGCCGAGGCAGCGGCCATGAAGAGGGCCGAGGCGGCGCATATTGACGTGAAGAGAAAGGCGGACCGGGAACGAGTGAACGATGCTGTGTACAAGACTGGGTCAAGGCCCCAGCGGGTATGCGCTAGGTTGTGATGGAAACTGTTGACGGTTAGAGCGAGTTGTTGATGTGGGAAAAAAAGGCAAAACATACAAAGTGAACAGTGCATCGGCCTCCTCCACGGTCATGAGGCCGAGGTCGATGGGGTCCAGATCACTCCCGACATCGAGGCTGAATTGGCTGAGCTTAAAGAACTTTTCCACTTCCGATGGCTGGTCGGGTTGCTTGGTCTGGCGTGCTCGTTGATGAGAGGCAGCTTCTGCCGGTAGGCTATCGTTCCCAGACTTTGGGGACACATGAAGGTCGGATGCGCGCGCAAGAAGTTGGAGCGGGTTCTCAGCATCATCAACAGCAAGACTCTCCTCGACAGCGTGACCCTGGGATGGGGTCGATCCCTGCGGCGGTACACTCATGCCGTCCTGTTCGGAAGCGCTGCTGTCTCCGGCGTCAGATGAAGCGTCCGGAAGGAGCGTGTCGCTCTGTCTCGAGTCTCGGCGCGGGTTCGGCTTTCGTCCACCAACCTGGATGGTGTCGCCTGGTGGCATAGACCCTTCCGAGCCCGACCCGAGAAGTACTTTGAGCTCGGATACAACCTTGGTGGCCTCGATCCCCTGAATGCTGGTCCCTGATCTCCTCACTGCCTGCTCAACCTGGTGCAGTGCCTTCTCCAGTCCAGTTCGCTTGCTGTTAAGTGGGGGGTTAGCAGCCAGATACTGGGTAAAAAGACAAGACGTTCTCACTTCTTGACCCCTTTGCGACGTCCAACATGGAAATCAGGTCGAACACACTGCACCCCCAACTGGAGACAACGTTGACAGCGCTCGTCGTTTGGCATGCGTCCCTTCTCGCACTTGATCTTGCTTCTGCGACACACGAGACATGCAGCGGCCCGGCGGCTGTTGTGATCCTTGGGCGATTCCCTGACGCTGTCTGTCTTGAGTGCGCCAGCAGCGTCTGGCCGGTCCGTAGAGTCGACATCCATTCTCGGGCGCAAGCCGACCAAGGGCGTTTCTACACCTTCAACTCCGGCCTTTTTGTGATCTGTTCCAGGTTGCGGGGAGGCCGGTCAGCCCTGCACCGACCTGCAAGTGACAAACCCCAGAGTCTCCCGAGTCCCGAAGGTTGGCGTTGGGGTAATAAGTGAGCTGAGTGGCCGCTTGGACGCCGAGCCAGCTGGCCGGCTTCGCTTGCCAGTGCCAATCGCGGTCGAGTGTGACCCTTCTCCAAGAATTGCCCCCTCTCTTAGCTCCAGGTGTTAGTGTCAGTTTCTTGTCCTCAACGTCAATGCCGGCAACGACATATGATGATCCGCGTCCCGGAGCCGGAGTGAGGATGTTGTATGGTAGCGCCTTGAAAGTGTCGTGGTATTTTCAGAATTCTCTTTTCTTCTTGACAGGTTTGACACATGTTGTCATTGGCAATCGTAAAAAGTCGGGTGAAGGCAGGGTTACATTCCACACTCCCACACTCACAGGCTGTCCTGTCTGTCGTCTGCCAGTGCCTGTCCTCCACGGCCGCCTGGATGAGGAACCGTTTGTTCATCACCGGACCATTTAACCGTGACTGTTGAGTGCGCCTGTCGGATTCTCCCGCCTTGGCGGCTCCCACCTGCCATCCCACCAGACGCCGTATCTTCGGAGAAATTCTGCCTATCTTAGGTACCAAACGTTGGCTTGCTCGGCCAGCCATCCACACACCCACTTGCCGGCGTTGCGGCTCGAGGGACGCGGACCACGGGCGCCCGAACCCCGCTTGTGCACCAGCCTGTTTATTCCCAGCTGTCGCCAAGCCAGCGGAAGAGAGGGGTTAGGTTGTTGAGGCAAAAGAGGCAGTCCCAGTGATTGACCTGGTGGTTATGAACAAGCAGCATCGGATGCCGGTATTTGCTGTTGTTGTTAGCCCACCCATGAGATCCCAATGTGACTCTCGCTGTCCTTGACTGTTACACGATGCAATTATGGCAGACTGTGAGGATGTCCATATCAGTCAGTTGGGTAGCATGAGGGAACCGAGAGAGGCCGGAGATATGAGCATGTTGGCAAACCCAATACCGGTTGCCACGCTGGTGGAGTTGACGAAACGGGAGTTGAGCTGCAGGGAGCTGCAGCTACCAGGTCAAGCTCAGGAACCAGCCCGCTACTTGTCGATCTCTAGACATATTTCAGAGACCCCAGATCCCTATCCCACTTTGGCCATGTACTGTAAGTGCCATGTCTTCGATCACGATCTCAAACAACAGAAGCCTGGAGCACGATCTACCCACGCTTCGCTTCTGCATCGCCGGGTCACCCCGCATCGGAAAGTGGTGGACATCAGGGTCGATGAAGGGAGATGGACCCACAATTCCTTGGCCGATGTCCATCCATGCGCTCTTCTCATTGGTCGATTGGTGAATCGCCTTGTGAGACCAACGCATCGCCGTTTGTGTGCGATATCAACTTGGCCATGGCCAACTGTTGCATCCATACAAGCCACGCCAGAAAGCTTGACCTGGGACGATGATGGCAAGAAATAAGAGGAGAGGCTTCGCTGCCGGGACAAATTATGTCATAGGACAAGAAAACGATAAGGGGAAAAAGGACGTAAAGACCAAAGAAAACACCCAACCTGAAGATCTTCAACGAAAAGCGTCAACATGGCGGCATCCAATCATTTCCTCGAGGACAAAAAGATCATTGTGGTAGGCGGTGGCATCGCTGGATGCGCCTTTGTGGCCGCCCTCCACAAACTCTGGAACCCAAACTGGAGATTACCAGAGATCGTCGTCCTCGAGCGCAACCCAAGAGATGTTCGACACAACTATTCGATATCCCTACATGGCGACAGCGTCAATGGAGGTCTGGTCGCCTTGCGACAACTCGGCCTCCTCGGTGAAACACTCAGTCACTCCATCTTCGGTCTCCGGTCGGGCCAGTTCAAAATGTGGGATGTTAACTGGAAGGAGCTGATGTCAACACAGCCTCGGCCATGGGGGGACTTGCCAACGGGGTCCATGAGAATCCAGCGCAGCGATCTTGAACGAATCCTGGTCCGAGAAGCAGAGAGGATAAACGCAACCTTCCATCGGGGTGTTGAATGTACCGGGGCTGAGCGGTTAGCCAACGGCAGGATCCGAGTCGCGGTGGAGGATGAGGCGGGAGTCAAAGATTACCAGGATTGTGACTTTCTCGTGGTCGCCGACGGCGCTCAGAGCAGACTCAGGGCTGCTCTCCGGCCCCACGATGACCTCAAGTACGCCGGCGCGGTCCAGATAGGTGGAAGAGCCGAGTTCCCACATGGGATACCGGAGCCCATCGAGGAGAATTGGGGTATCTTGTTGTCCGGGAAGGGTGTTTGCTGTTACTTCTCGGCCGTCGATAAAGACACTGTCGTGTGGGCACTGAGCCAACAACGAGCCGAGCCGGATACGCGAACAAGCGTAGCGACGCCCGACAGATTCGCAGCCCTCAAAGAAGAAGCCCTCCGCCTCGGCAGCATGTTCTCGGAGCCATTCCGCACAATCGTCGAGTCGACCATCCCATCATCAGCCTTTGTGACTGCAGCCATGGAGAAGGAACCATTTCGGCACGACGACCCGAGCCTCGAAAGAATAGTCTTTATCGGTGATGCCAACCATGCCGTGAGTGCTTTTGCTGGAAACGGAGCCAATCTGGCGTTGAAGGATGGATGGGATCTGGCGGAAAACATCTGTTACCAGTCATCTCTGCACAACGCTGTGGCAGCCTACGACAGACTGGGCTTTGCACGGGCAGCTGAGGCCATCAAGTCGTCTCACCAAAAGATTGACTTTGCCCATTGCACAAGCGTCAAGGACTCGCTGTTACGAGCTGGGCTGGCGACTGGACGATGGCTTATGCGCATTAGGGGGATGTGAGGTTCACAGGCGCAACCTGGAATTGGGTTTGTGGTGGTTGGAGTTGGATTGGAAGAGTCCGGGGGCATCTTTTGTTTTGGTGAACTTGCTTTTTCCGTGTTCATCGCGTCTTGGCACAATCTTAGGGATGGGGTTGGAGGTTGGATATAGGGTGAATAATTCTGAAAGAGTTTGATGCTTATAGGATGGAATTCCCTCGATGAGCAGATGATGAGAATCCAGCATATCATGTTTCAAGAAATGCATCACGTTCCTTTCGAAGCTGAACATGGTGCCCGACGAAAGCTTCCAGAGGCAAGAGCGCTGTGCCAAACGCCCCGCAGTGCCTTTGATAAGATAATGATAATTAGAGGATAGTGGGGCTGGCACTTTGACGCGCGAACGCGCCTTCCCTGGACCTCCTCGCGTCGTATCGCGTCCCGCTTAGACTTTCTGGGATGCCAGGGGCCTTTGAACTAGACTTGTCCAATTCAGCGCTGTCTGCTTTCCCCTTCTCTATAGTATTCTTCTCTTCGTCTGTTGTATTCGACCATCATTCAACCCATCCATCACCCGTCTGTACAACCCGCGGCCAAGATGGGAGACAAGACAGCAGCCCGCACCCCGGCAAAGACGCCGTCTACAGCTAAGAAACAGGGACAGGCACCGTCAACGGGCAAGCAGCAGAGCATTCTCGGCTTCTTTTCTAAGACACCAGCAAGCAGTGCCAATGCTCCCAATTCTTCGCCCTCGGTCAAGCCGACACCTTCCCTCAAGAAAGCCAGCTCCTCGCAATGCCTCCAGGAGACAACCAAGTCCAACTCTGCGCGACGACCACCCGATGCTACACCTGTCCCCAGCAGTGACGCCCCTGAGCCGACCAGCTCTCAGGAAAACAGAGACGTCAGCACTGCCAAGGCATGTGTTTTTCTTTTTTCCTATGCTCTTTCGCACTTCGTGTTGCTGACGCTATGTCCCACAGGTGTCGAAATCGAGGACGACCATGAGGGACACCACGACGCTGCCTAGCAGCCCTTCCCGAAAGGTCAAAAAAGCCGTCAACTATGCCGAATCATCCGACGAAGAAGACGAGGAGTTCATCGCCTCATTGACATCTCGGAAGAGCCGACAGCGCCGCCCGCGTGCGGCGGTCATCGACGAGGATGATGAGGACACGTACGAGGCAGGCGCCAATGAAGTTGACGAGGAGGACGGTATGCTGGAACTATCTATCCCATTTTCTGGATCAAGGCGCTAATATGGTACAGACGAAATGGAAGACTTTGTAGTCTCGGACGACTCAGATGCTCCATCCAGATCGAAGAAGAGGAAACGGCCGGCTGCCAAAACCTCTGCGCCACGGAAGAAGACCACCAACCCATCGCCGCCTCGTTCAGCTGCTCCAGACCTGGACGGTGACGAGCCAATGGAAGACGTCCCCCCGTCGACGTCCACCGCACAGAAGTGGAAATACGACCCTGACAGCATTGATCATGACGAGCCACAGGAGACGGTCGTCAAGGCCCCTCCAGCTGCGAAGAAGCCGTCGTCAACACCCAAACCGAAACCGAAAGCCCACACTCAGGAACCCGAGAAGAGATATCCCTGGCTGGCCAACATCCTGGATGGCAACAAAAAGCCACCAACCGACCCAGAGTTCGATCCCACGTCCATCTACATCCCACCGGCAGCGGAGAAGCAGTTCTCTGCCTTTGAGAAGCAGTACTGGGACATCAAGAAGAATCTCTGGGATACCGTCGTGTTCTTCAAGAAGGGCAAGTTCTACGAGCTGTACGAAAATGATGCAACCATTGGTCACCAGTTGTTTGATCTGAAGATGACAGACCGCGTAAACATGCGCATGGTGGGTGTCCCTGAGAGCTCACTCGATATGTGGGTCAACCAGTTCGTCGCGAAAGGCTTCAAGGTCGCTCGTGTGGACCAGATGGAGTCCGCGCTTGGCAAGGAGATGCGTGAGCGTGACGCAAAGGCCAAGAAGGCGGACAAGATCATCCGACGTGAGCTTGCTTGCATCTTGACTGCCGGCACCCTGGTGGACGGCAGCATGCTCCAGGATGATATGGCCACATACTGCGCAGCCATCAAGGAGTCTGTTGTGGATGGCAAGCCTTGCTTTGGCATTGCGTTTGTGGATGCCGCCACTGGTCAGTTTTTAATTTCCGAGTTTGAGGATGATGTCGACCTCACCAAGTTCGAGACCTTTGTTGCCCAGACATGCCCTCGGGAACTGGTGCTGGAAAAGTCGCGGCTGTCCACCAAGGCGCTCCGCATCCTCAAGAACAACACTGCACCTACTACCATCTGGAACTATCTCAAACCCGGCACCGAGTTTTGGGATGCTGAGACGTCGAGGCGGGAACTGGAGTGCAACGGTTACTTCTCCAACGCTGACAACCAGGAGGAAGTCTGGCCGGAGAAGCTCGAGAAGGTCAAGGAGAAGGACCTCTTGATGTCGGCTCTTGGCGGGCTGGTTCATTACCTGCGCTTCCTCAAGCTCGAACGGAGCTTGCTCTCGCAAGGGAACTTTGAACCTTACAATCCAATCCACCGCAACGGCACGCTCATCTTGGACGGCCAGACCCTCATCAACCTCGAGATCTTCTCGAACACGGCCAACGGTGGCGTGGAAGGAACGCTTTTTAACCTCCTCAACAGGTGTATTACGCCGTTTGGGAAGCGTCTCTTCCGGCAGTGGGTCTGCCACCCGCTCTGCAACATCCAGAAGATCAACGAACGTCTTGATGCGGTGGACATGCTCAGCAACGACAAGAGTGCGCTTGCCGAGTTCTCGTCCCACATGAGTAAGATGCCCGACCTGGAGCGATTGATCTCGCGCATCCACGCCGGCTCCTGCAGACCTGAAGACTTTGTCCGTGTGCTCGAGGGCTTTGAGCAGATTGACTACACCATGAACTTCCTTGGCGCTTTTGGGGGTGGCAATGGGCTGGTGGACCGGCTCATTTCTTGCATGCCCGATCTCAAAGAGCCCCTTGGTTACTGGGAGACGGCCTTTGACAGGAAGAAGGCTCGCGACAGCAAGGTTCTCATCCCCGAGCGGGGGATCGAGGAGGATTATGACAACAGCGAAGACGAGCTGAACCGCATCAAGGAAGAGCTGGCTCAGCTGCTCGAGAAGCAAAAGACGGCCTTGAAGTGCAGGCAACTCAAGTTCACCGACGTCGGCAAGGAGGTGTACCAGATTGAAGTGCCCAAGTCGACCAAGGTGCCTTCGAGTTGGCGCCAGATGTCGGCTACGGCCGCTGTCAAGCGGTACTACTTCCGAGAGCTGGAAAGCCTTGTCCGTGAGCTCCAGGAAACCGAGGAGACGCACTCCCAGATCGTCAAGGAGGTCGCGTCAAGGTTCTTTAAGAAATTCGACGTTGATTACGAGGTGTGGTTGCAGGCTATTCGCATCATCTCGCAGCTGGACTGCCTGATGAGCTTGGCCAAGTCGTCTCTTGCCCTCGGCCTTCCCAGTTGCCGTCCGGAGTTTGTTGATGACGAGCGGAGCGTCTTGCACTTTGAGGAGCTCCGTCACCCGTGCATGATCAACAGGGTGGACGACTTTATTCCCAACGATATCCACCTCGGCGGCGAGCAGGCCAAGATTAACCTTCTTACCGGTGCCAACGCGGCTGGAAAGTCGACTGTTCTTCGAATGGTGAGTTCGTTGCTCAATATTCTTCTCTGCTCGACAGCTAACATTTTCCAGACTTGTACTGCCGTCATCATGGCCCAGATTGGCTGTTACGTCCCGGCTGTGTCGGCCAAGTTGACGCCTGTCGACCGTATTATGTCTCGTCTCGGCGCCAACGACAATATTTTTGCCGCCCAAAGCACCTTCTTTGTTGAGCTGTCCGAAACCAAGAAGATTCTGGCCGAGGCTACGTCTCGCTCCCTTGTTATTCTTGACGAGCTCGGACGTGGCACCTCTTCGTATGATGGCGTGGCTGTCGCCCAAGCTGTTCTTCACCATGTGGCATCCCACATTGGTTGTGTTGGCTTCTTTGCTACCCACTACCACAGCCTGGCAACCGAGTTTGAGAACCACCCTGAGATCCGGGCGCGGAGGATGCAGATTCACGTCGACGGTGGGAACCGGCGAGTGACGTTCTTGTACAAACTGGAGGACGGTGTTGCAGAGGGATCGTTTGGTATGCACTGTGCTGCCATGTGCGGTATTCCCAACAAGGTCATCGAGGAGGCCGAGGTGGCGGCCAAGGAGTGGGAGCACACCAGCCGGTTGAAGGAAAGCTTGGAGAGGGCCAAGACGGGGTGTTACATCCCTCTCGGAGTGCTGAGCGATGTGGCAAGCTTGCTCAGGGTTGGTGGTGAGGCAGAAGTGCAGGAGCGGGGGGTGGAGGTGCTGTTGCGAGCCATTGAGGCGCTTTGAGTCTGTCTTTTGTTTGGGAATGGGGGACTGTCTGGTTTTGCATGGGATTGTTTGATGGGTAAAAGGGACATGTTTATGGCAGGGCAAAGCATGGGATACATCTGAAGAGAATAAGGGTAATATGAGGTTGTACAGTACACAGTAATAACGTCTTTGTAAACGCATATCGTCGTCGGGTTTCGGGTGTCTCAGATTTATGGTGCACTGCTTATGCAAGCTGTTGTGCTAGCGACTGTGCCCCCCCACCATCTTGATCCGTTTTATGGGACGCTATCGGATTATTGAATCCCAAACGGTTGTGCCCAGCAATTTTGAGCACATTTTTGACAGTGTTTAACTGCTTGTTCCTGGGGTCTATAGGCGCTCACAAGGCTATCATTGTCCATCATTTTGACAGGTGTCCCACCTTCCTTTTCGGACAGAGCCTGACATGACTACCGCGCCTAGGTTGCCGTCCCCGAGTCTGGTCGCCGCTGACTGACTGACGGGATCTTTGGCTGCCTAACCCCCCGGCCGATCCCGCGGTCCTGCGCCACCTTTCTCTCTCTCTCTCTCTCTCTCTCACCCACCATTTGTCTCTTACAACTTCAGGCTTGTTTCTTTCCTTCGGCGTCAATCACCATGAGTTATTAATCGCCCAGGTACATACACAAAAGACAGACGCGGTGGTCTCTATGCTACATGGTACCGGATCATCAGGCGCGGCCGGCGATTCATCAAGATGGCCTCCCTCACGCTCGCGTTACTGCTTGCCCTCTTCGCCCTCCTCACCTCTGCCGACCCTTCGGTACCCACACAAAACACCCAGTTCTGCAACTTTGGGCACCCCACCGGACATGCCGATTTCTGCTTTGGTCTGTCGGTGAAAAATCACTCGAGCCCGAAGCCAAATCACGACTTTCACAAGGATTTTCACGTCAGCTTATCGATCCGCCGATCGGGGAAGCTAGGGTGGACGGCTGTTGGGACGGGGCCGACGATGGCGGGGTCGGTGATGGTTGTTGTTTACGGGGATCCGGGGAGGGGAAGGCCGGCGGTTAGTGTCAGGAGTGTGGATGGGCATCACCTGCCCGGGACTATTGATCATCAGGGTGTCGATGGGGAGGTGAAAGGGGAGTGGGAGGGGGTTGAACAAGGGGGGGTGGTGAGGGTGATGAGGGCGGAGTGGGTTCTTTTGGGTGGGGGAAAGGAAGGGAGACATGATGATGAGATGGAGGAATGGGAAAAGCCGGACGGGCCAGCGACGCATGCCGCACGGGTGGAGGTTGTTTGTGAGAAGTGCGATACTTTTGGGAGTGTGCAGAGCTGGGGTAGTGGGGGAACAGGGGGGAGTATGCCGTGGATTTGGGCTTGGAATGATCATCAGGATTTTGAACATGATGGGGACGGGTTTGAGGTTGGGGCGAAATTGAAGATGCATAGGCATCGTGAGGGGAGTGGGGGGTTTGGGAGGTTTTGGGTTGATATGCGGAGGGCTGCTCTTGAGGGAGGGAGACATGAGTGGGATTTTGAGGAAAAGGAAGGGAACAGGAGGGTGGGGACGAGTGATGGGCCGATTGGGGTCGGGGCCTTGGTTTGACTTTGTGGTGAGGGTTTGGTCGTTGGCGAAGATTCATGGGGTGGTGATGGCGGTGGGGTTTTTGGGGTTGTTCCCGTTGGGGTTGGTGATGATCAGGATGAATAGTGGGAAGGGGAGGCCGTTTAAGAGGCATTGGAGGGTGCAGGTTTTGGCCACGACGGTTGCGGTTGTTGGGGCGATGATTGGAGGACGGTTGTCAAAGTGGCATATGCCAAAGACATCACATCAGTGGTTGGGGGTGGGCATTGTGGTAGGGTTGGTTGTGCAGAGTGTTTTGGGGTGGAGGCACCATGTTGACTTTGTGAGGATCAAGAGACGGACGTGGATTTCTCACGGGCATATCTGGCTGGGGAGGTTTTTGGTTGCTGGGGGGTTGGTGAATGTGGTTTTGGGCATGTTGTTGGCTGGCAAGGGTGCAGGGTCGGTTTGGTTGGTCGTCGCGGTGGGAGTGTTGGAGGCGGCTGGGTTGGGCTACTGGCTATGGAGGGCTGAGAGGCAGAGGAAGCAGGCTGCTGGTGCGGGGGAGGATGGGACGGAGGCTTTGGCTTTGATGCCGAGGAGTAGCGATGGAGGGGAGAATTATTTTGCATTGGATGAGAGCGAAGAGGAAAGCTCGGATGAGGGTGAGGATGGCAAGATGTCGGATGAGGAGTCATTGCGGAAGAGATCAGTGGACTCAGCAACTTCGGTGAAGAAGAGTTTGGCGGCAACGAAGGACTAAGGTCACTTCCAGGTCCTTTACCGTTTATTAACAAAGCAGACAATACAAGTATGTATGCATTTGTATGATGGGGACTATCGCTTTCTTGATCGCAACCCTTTTCATTATTTGGCTCGAACTGCAGGCCAAGTGATTGACAAGGCTGTTCTTATCAGCATCACCAGTGCACGAGGTGCTCTTGCAGGCGGCCATCATGCAGAGCGAGTTACACAAAGGTCTCGGCAGGTTGCGACACTGACAGCTCAGGTACACCATGCACTGATAATAGCTGCCGAGAACAAAAGGCTCACTTGAAAGGCATCAGTCAGTACAACATCGATATGAATATTGGCATCGATCAAATCCATTCTGGCAATGATCAACATTTTTTTGCCACCAAGACTTTCGTCTAGACCCGACCGGACTCTTGGGTCTTCCAAAAGTGCCGCAGCTGACATCTGCCATCCCACCATCTTTCGACATGACGCTAGCGAAAGGCTTTCAGCCTCACCCTTGGGCAACTGCACTTCTTATTCGCCAAGGCCCTGGTTCACCACAGTTGGGGATCCCTTTTTCAGAATTCTTTGGATTCGAGACGGGCCTGAGGGCAAGCCACGCATGATGGAATCGTGTGGTTGTGGTGGGAGAAGCTGGGTGATGGGAGCCACATTGGTACGGTAGTGATGGGGCTGGGGATATGGGATGCTGTGAGTTGTCGGACTTGGAGGATAGGAACTTGAAAGAGGTTATAAGGTGATGGTCGACGTTGTTGCCCCGTGCAGGAGGATTTGCCTTCTGGCGCATGCCCGATCGTTAATGGGTAAGCCTTCGGGTGGGAGAGATGCGCTTTCAACATCAAGTTGTGCCGCTGGTCGTGACGGCAGCGGGCTGGCTGGGTCGGGTTGAAGGGTCACCTATTGGAAGTCAAAATGGAATTGCGACGGTAGCGCGACCAGAAACGAGTCCAGTCGGTTACGGAATACTTCGATATGCCTCACCGGACCTTCGACGAAGCTTGCTAGGGGATGAGGGAGGCGTGCCAGGTGGGCTTAGCAAGAGACAGTGTGCTGGTCAGCTTATTTGCACCGCATGGATCAACGTCTGCTGCCCGCTTGGAACGACATGCTGCAGCGCGACGACTTGCTGTCTGGCTGGGTATGGTTGCTATAGTGGGTATTGTCTCAAGGATACGGTGTAAGTTCGAGGCTCATATCTTTCTCCCGACGGGCAGTACTAGGTGACGGTGCTGACAGAGTATTGTTAACTGAAAAAGATACACATTGACAGTCACCAGGACTGTGTGGACTACCAGATACTCAACTTACACCGACTACGAAACATCCTATTCCACCTATGTGAGCCTCAAATACGATTACACCACAGTCACAGTTCGATCGAAGAACGGAGTGGCAACATCTACAGAATGGACGACGGTCACTCGAGAAGCAGTGAAACGACGACAACTGATAGCTCCAACAGCAACAAGCACGCATGACGTTGGCCACACTCCGTCACCGACCAAGCCACCAAGATTGGAAGACCTTGGCGCTGAAACGATGGAGTCATCACCAAACCATCCTGGACTTGTCAGACGCGTTCTCGAACGAGCCGGCGTGGTAGAAAAGAGGGCCTCAACGGCGTGGATAACGGTGTGGCCAACCTGGACGACAACATTCTGGTATTATCGCACGTCCTGGTACTACAGCTATGTGACCAGTGTCAGATACAGCACCATCACCAGCACGCAGATCATCTTTGATGGGGCTAGCTCCACAACGACGGTTCGGTCCACCACGACAGTCTTCACCCAAAAGCCACCGCCAGCTCAGACACCACCTCCCAACAACCCCCCCGCGGCAGATCCCCTCCGGCGAGAATGAAGCAGCCTCCTCGCCCTCTCCTCTCTCTCTAGCCGACGAACCCGCGCCTACCAAACCCCCCGAGACAGTCACCTTGACTCAATCCCCGCCCGACAATCTT